TGTATGGGGGGCAGCATGGGGGCAGTATGTGTGTATGGGGGGCAGCATGGGGGCAGTATGTGTATGGGGGGGAAGTATGGGGGCTATGTGTGTGTGTGTGTTAAGGGTAGGGGGGGATTTTTTAAATAATATATATCTTTATTTAATTAAAAAAAAAAAAATATTCTATGTCCCCCCTCCCTTCTTACCTTTATTGAGGAGGAGGGGGGACATATTTTCATCCCTGGTGGTCCCAGTGGTGATTCCCTGGTGGTCCCAGTGGTTACAGTGAACTCTAGCCCGCGCTCCCGGGCTAGAGTTCACTCTCGCGAGATTTGGAGCGTTGGCAACGCTCCAAATCTCGCGAGAGGAGGACCCGGAGGAGCTGCAGACTGAGCTCCCGGGTCCTCCCTCTCCCTCCCCTGCCGGCTGTCAGCACAGTGCCTGCGGACCGGGGAGGGAGAGCTCCGATCTCCCCTCCGGTCCGCAGGCACATTGCAGGGCTAGCACCTGCATGTGCTGACAGGGGAGGGAGACCGGCGGATTTCTCGGGGGGGGCAATTGCCCCGTTGCCCCCCCCCTGGATCCGCCAGTGACCTGGGGGAATGTCTGGGGCTCTGCTTTAAGTGGTAGCCTGTTTAGGAAAGAATAAGTGATTATTGGAGTTTCATATTTCACGTTTGATGTTATATTTCTGTAATAACCGAGTATGTTTATAAAGAGGGGCAGAGCACCTACATTAACATTAGACTCTGAGACATGGTAAGGATTGGGTTCACACACTGGGTAGACTGTTGTTATGGAATTATTGATGGAAGATACCTTGACCCCAGGCTCAAGCTTTTAAGATGATCAGATGTCCAGTCTTTACTTCTTATGTTTTGCTTTTGACTTTTAATCTAGTTTCAAGTGTCTGACAAATAAGCATAAAATCGTGACATTCTGTGGTTTCTGAGGAGACAATTACAGCTTCCCCCATTAACCCCCCTTCTGATGTCCTAATGTTTTTATATATATAACCATTGAAATATGGTTAGTACTGTAATTTCCCCTTTATGGTACAATGTGACTTTACCCATCTGGTTTTTGGCGCGCAAGTCACAAAGCTGTCTTTACAAAGTAGTATATAATCTGTAAATTTACACAATAAAATAGGGAAGTAATCTTTGAATCAAAAACTGTCTGGTCTGATTACTTTCTCCGAGCTGCTCGTAATTTAAAGTGTCAATTTGGTTTCCACCTGAACATATCTCCGGGTAAATTAATATCTGTGTCACTGTGTAGCCAGTCCCATGATGAAATGTTACATTAGTACAGTTATCACATTAATGCAGAGTAATCTATACGCACGATGTGTTTAGTATAATCTGATACTGAAAATATTTATTGCTATGGAATTCTGTGCTGTGTTTAAGAATTTCTTTTGTTTGTTTTTTCATGATAGCAGAAGATATTGCAGTAGAGTCTGTTAGTGCGGGCTGTGGTATTTACCAGTGAACATGCTGCGGACAAATACCCCACTGGAGGCATTTACATGGGGTACAGGAGCTGCAAAGATGTCAAGGAAACCCATAGCTCTGCAACAGGTGAGTCGGAGAATCCAATGGCAAATCTGGCATTCTACCCTTCTTGTGAATAGCAGACTGAATATATTATTGCTGAGCACCAGTAAACGTGTTCCACTCTTGTTATTATCACAGATGGGATTTATACTCTGAAAACCAAAGATGGAGAGCAGTATCAGACCTTCTGTGACATGACCACCAATGGAGGAGGGTGGACATTGGTGGCCAGTATCCATGAAAACAATATGTACACAGTGCACAGTGGGAGATCGCTGGACCAGTCAACAGGGAAATTCCGCTAACTACCATGAGGGAGATGCCAACTGGGCAAACTATGCCACGTTTGGGCAGGCTGATGGAGCAACCAGTGATGACTACAAGGTACTCAAAATGTCTGTTTTCTTATGATAAGATTAATGTTTGGGTGCAAAGCTAAGTACTCTGGCTTTGTAGTGCAATCTTATGGGCAACTTTTTCAGATTTGGGATGCAGTTCAAGTTGCAGTGATTGGCTGATTGCTTTGATATCAGTCAACAGGCCATTACATATCAATATGAGGGTGTATTATTTCCATCAACTGTGCATATTGGGATTTTATTCCATACTTGGGGTGAGTATCCAGAGAAGGTTTTTAAATTTAATCTCAGGGTGCGTGAATAGATATGTTTTTTTAATCTAACTTTGGGATGCATGTCCAGATTTGTCTTTGTTTAATATTGAGCTACTGTCAGATTGTTGGATCTTACAATACATACTTTGCACAGATTTTTATTGTTCATTTTTTAAATTTTTTTTTTTGCAAAAGCAAAATTAAAGATGAATTAAAGAATATATATTTGTTTTAATTGCTTGCATAGATGTATTTTAAAAAAATATATATAATCTCAACGTATAAAACAATATAGGATTTTTTTTATTTCTAAAATTCTAAAACTGTTTATTTTATCTTAGGGTCCATACTGATATAGAGTTTAACTGAATTTTGGTGTACATAACCATATAAGGATTTATATTTATTGCGATATCTTGAAATTGTACTGATATTCTTGAATTGCAGTAACTGGTGACTTAAAAACATCACAAGTGGACCCCACACATTTTTACCTAAAAGCGTCTCTGGGGCTTGATATCACTGTTAATATGGTCTTTGTTATGCTTCATATATTATAAAAGCATATGAGCCTCTTT